GACTAGCAGGGCCGGGGGAGGTCAAGGCAGGAGCATGGAGGCACCCAAATTGCTGGGTTCCATTCCTGGAGCATCATGCCAGGAGGGACCCTCTGCTCCGGCCTCCTGCATGGCACAGGCCAGAGAATCCCTCCTGGTTCCTGCCAGTACTTGGCTCTGACTCAAACCCAGTCCAGGAAGGTGCCAGTTTGGGCCTGCAAAGCCCAGGAAAGGGAGCCTGCGCCCCTGCCCCCGCCCCGGGACATGGTCCGGCAGCCACCCTGTTCCAAACCGCTGCCTTATTTCTAACTGGCATTTGGCTTCAGCTTCCAGCCTTGATTCCAGTTCTGCCCATCTCAGCCAGCTAGCAAGCCCGTTAGGAGAGGGTGTTTCCCCCCCGGCCTGCCAGTTTGTGCTACACTCAGCCCGGGCTCCGTCCCTCGCTCTGTGCGGCATCATCCCCAGCCCTGCGATCGCTTGTGTGGCTCTTCCCTTCGCCCTCCCCAGCGTCCCCACACCCTGTTGATGCTACTCGCCCCGGACTGGCACGCAGCATCCCAGAGCGCTCCCGCCGTGGCTGGCCACGGAGGGGAAAGCCACATCCCTCCCCGGCAGGGTTCCCTATAAGCTGAGCGCTTGGGCGGCCACCCAGGAAAGATTCCAATGCCGCCCAGCTGATTAGCAGAACGCCCATAGCCGGCAGCATGTGCTTCTAGGAGTGGTGCACATTTGCACATGCCTCGGTGCACAGAACAAAATTTATTCTGCCTATGGATGAAAAAAAAATTCCCCGGAAGACGCGGTAGAGCTTGGAGGTGTCTGTCTGCCAGTGTATCCAAGATGTCATTGCCCTCAGCCCCAGCATGGACCCCTGGCTGGCTGTGCTCACCTCTGTGCTTGCCCCCATCACCCCCCTAGCTCCAGGAGGTGATGGGCTCAGAGGTGTCATATTGCAGGACTGGTGCGAGAAGCCCAGGCCGCAGGGGTGAAAGCTCAGGCCTCGGGGCGGGGCGAACTGGGCAGCTCCCCAGCTCCTGCTCTCTCCTCCGGCAGCGTCACGCTGATCGAGTGCGGCCCGGTCAATACCAGCTTCCTGGCCAACCTGCAGAGCGCGGACACTGCCGGGCCTGGACCCCCAGACCCAGGCCCTGTACAGCCAGTACCTGCAGCACTGCCAGAGCCTCTTCCGCGACGTGGCCCAGGACACCGACGACGTCCTGCAGGTGCCATGGGGAGCAGGGCGAGGCCCGGGGCTGAGACAAGCCCAGAACTGGAGAGGGGTCCCTGCAGAGCCCTGGGGAGAGGCGCCAGGAGTCGGCAGGGATTGGTCCAGCCACCCCCTGACCTCCCCCCTGGGGCAAGGGGCACTGGCTGGTACCTTCCTTTCTCCCTGTCCCCCCTTTCCAAGAGAGCTTGGGAGAGGGAAGCCCGGCTCCAGCCCTCTCTACCCACAGGGGCCTGAGGTGGGGGCTGTTCCCTGTGCCGAGCAGGGGTCCCAGGCAGGTCTACGTCCCTGTAACCTCACCCGCTGGATGGGCCCACTGACCCTGGGGGGATCCCCAGCCTTGCCTTATAGCCAACTTGGAGGCATGGGCGTGGGGTGAGGGTAGGGCTGGGGGAGGCGACCCCCCAGTC